CTAGTTTCTCTGGATGCAATTATGACAGACAGAAATCATCCAATCATAATATTCCTTCAGAGCAAGAAGAGATCTTAGTTCTTGACCCAAGAGACAGGAGGGCTGAGAGAAATGAAGGGACTTGCGTAGGGCTGCAGAACACTAGATGTCAGAGGCAGAGCAAAGGGTCAGTCTACATTCCACACTTCTCATTATCCCACTAAAGCTATCTGTTTAATAGTTCTCTGGCAAGTTGTCAAATGTTTGCTCCTTCTGAATCTCCGCCATGGAGTTCACCATGGTACCCGACTTTACCACGCATCACGTTCCACTTCTTCATGGCCCAGAGTTTCCTCCGACCTCAGAGGTGAGTCAGTCCTTGAATGTCCCAATTTTGTTGTTCTACAGATAAGCATTCCTAGAGAAACTCTCTCTCTCCCTAGAGAGCCGGGTCTCCATCTGCCTGTCTCCAGCCTAATTTGGAGACTGAAAGGAACAGGATATATTTTATTTTTAAATTGTTTCTTAAAGTACATCCTCTGGTTGATATTATGTCCTTCATCTCAGAGAGGACACATCTTCTCCTTGAATAACCTCTGGGATCTTACGCCAACAAACCTCTCTGTAAACCTGCCATCTTCCTCCTACTGGCCTGCCTTCCCTCATCTCATTCTCCAGTCACCTGCTCCTTTTAGCTCTCCTTCCCCTTCTCTTCTTTGCTGGTGTTTGTTTTTAAGATATTCACCATCAGCATATGAACTGAAGTGGGTTGAATCTTAATGAGCCTGTCATAATCTTGTTTCTTTAAAAAAGAAAAAAAAGTCCTGCAGACAGCTGAACGCTGGGTGAATGGCAGCCTCTTGCACCTAGGAGATGATGAGTGGACAGAATGGTCCGGAATGAACCCATCTCTGTGCGAGGATGTGGGAGTTGCCTTTAATTCCACCTGAACAGTGATAGCAAGGGCCCTGTGCTGGGATCTGCCTGGTCATCCACAGCTGCTGTGGCCTAGCGGCTCCGTGAAGATGGAACTAAGTTGTAAACTGCTTCAGTAAGCAGGGCGGGGGATGAGTGGGAGATGGTGGGCGGAGCTTCCCTGATCTTTTAGGGCTCTGGGAGCTTTGTGCAAGCAGACTGGGAAAGAAAAACAAAAAGAGGAAGGGGGAAGCTGGCTGGCTCTTTGAAGAGGAATGTCTACCTTATGAGACAGTTCCGGGAATTAATGAAGAGAATGCATGGTAAGGGGTCTGGTCTGATGCCTGGTGAATGCAGCTGAACTTGATAAATGTGGCTGACTCTTAATTGCTTGAAAACAGTTACTCAGGTGGGCTGTGGTCAGGAGGAGAAATAAAAACTATGACCAACTTCCCAATGCACTTCGGCTTCCAAGGCCCCTGTAGTGACACACCCACAGCCAGCTCTGGGGTGGGATTATCATTCTCAGTCTACACTTGAGGAACCCAAGGCTCAGCGAGCTTGAGTTGCTTTCCAAAGGCACAAAACTGAAAAGCAACAGAGTCGGGTCTTGAAGGCAGATCTTCCAGCTCAAATACCTCATACTTTTTCTGGGGATTTTCAAAGTAAAACAGGAAGCTGACAAACAAACTAAAACCATCATTTTTCGCTAAAATAATAGGAAAGGCTAACCTTTTCCAGGTAGTGGACAGTAGGAGAAAAATTGCTAGGTGGCTGCATTATATTTGTGGAAAAGCAGAAAACTTACTGGTTCTTTCTGACCAGGTTTAGCAGATCTTAGCCAACCTTAGCCAATTATGAAAACACCATTTTTAAAGCAGGTGGATTCCAATCCCTGATAGAATAAGCGGCAAAAAAATGCAAGAGGACACAGGCTAAGATTGAGTGAGTGCTTTGTGCCGGACACCAGGTGAGGCTCATTAAACAAATTACCTCGTTCATCTTCACATGCTAGGTGCTATTACTGTTCTACTTTACAAGGGAGAGAACTAAGGTTCAAGGAGGTGAAGTAGCTCGGCCAAGCTCACAGAAACTAAGCAGCCGAACTGCGAGTCCATCTGGATCCACCTCAGTTTCCCAACTTCGAACTGCTGGAGGCTCTGCTGGAGACATCCCTTTTGGAGGCTTGAGATGTACTGGGATTCAGGGCAGCAGGTTCCCTCTAGCAGAGTCCTCAATTTCCATGAGAATCTAAACGTCGGGATGACTCATTCACTGACGTGTGGCACAATCCTTGTCTTAAAATAACAAATCCCCATCATGAAAGCCAATGCATTTTGATGTCCCATAAATCCTTTTATAATGATCACTTGGTGTCACGGGCTTATTTAAATGGACACATCACTTCAAACAGGTCTTCTTCCCATCTGTTCTGCCCTTTTGGTGGCAGCAAGAAGGGAAGTAACTCACTGCCTTGGCATATCAATTAGGAGCTGGAGGTGGTCTGGAGATCTCTAAGTCTCCTGGCCTCACTTTCTGAGGCAAGCTGGGAGGGGTGGCAGGGGACATGCCATTTTTGTCATAATAAATTCCCCAGTGTGCTACATTTTTCTTCTCCCTGCAAACCCAGATTGATGACCAGTGGTTTTTGTTTTACGCAGATAACCATGACCCCGATGCTGTGTCCTGAGGCACTGCAGTATATCTATGTGACATTTTCTATTATTTCATGTCATGGAAGACAGAAACTAGGGTTCACCTGAGATCTTCCTTCTCCCATCAACAAACATGGGTATCTCCAGCTTTATGAAAGCCTGGAGTGAAGGCGTCTGGAATCCAGGCACAAAAGATCAACATGGGGTGACCATTTGCTAGCCAAAGGAAACTAGGGGGAGCCCTCTCATTGGCCCACTGTGGGTTCCTGAGGGGTCCAGCCTCAAATGCACTGAGACAACAGCTGCTGGGAAAGCTCTTGCTGGGAGGGGAAGCAGCGTGCCATGTTTTATCAGAGCAGACCCTTGGACCTTCTGCTCCAGAAACATCCTGGCAGCTTCTTATAGGGCAGAATCCTGGGCCCCTCTGCAAACCCTTCAAGGGACAGAGTCCAGGATTGTACATTTTAAAAAAGTATTGTTGATCCTTAAGCCACTAAAGTTCAAGCTAGGAAGATTAGGTTAGTGGTTAACACAGCAGGCTCCTTACTTATCAGACTACAGCCCTAAACTCACTAAGCTTTAGTTTCCTGTGTATAAAATGGAGATAAGAATAGCACCTGCCTCCTGGTGTTAGTGTGAGGATCAGATGAGATTAACACCTAGAAGCATCTGGCCCAGGGCCTGGACAACACTTAGCTGGTATGCAGAGGCACCACTTTACCCATTATTAAAATGCTGAAATACTTTATTATGGCTAATAAAGAGCTGCTGCTCTGAGTCCCTTCGGCCTCCCTCCCCCAACCCGGCCCCTCTCAGGGACTCCTCCTACTTCCCCACCATCCAGCAACTCAAGGGTTAACGTCCAGCACAGCAGCAAGCTCCAGGATGCAGCTCTGGGTCTGCAAAGGGCTGGTGGTTAAAATTCTTCAATTGCAACCTCTGCAGGCAGTCATGCCTAGTGGGTGTTACAGGAAAAAATTACACCAAGCAAGGCATGCCTGGATGCTCTGGCAAATGTCAGCTAAGGAATGTCCCCCAGCTCAAAGGACGGCCTTCAGTACAGGGCTCCCTAACTGCCACCTCTGGCTGCTCAGGACACTGACTCTGTACCTTTCTTTCCTTGTCCTATTCCTGCTCTGATCCCATCTCTGAACTCTCACCTCTGGATTGACTCTCATCCTTCTTCCTTTGGCCTCTGGGGCCCCGTGTTTGCATCTGACCTCTCCAGAATCTGACCTTCAGTTCTCAGAGTTGACTTTTGGGCTCTTCCCATTACAAACTGGCCTTGGCTTCCAGGACAGGCTTTACCTTCGGGTGGTGTCATCCCCAGACACCTGCCCTAACCCAGTACAGCTGGTCTCAGATTCGAGGTCTCAGCCCTTCTTGGCCTGACCCACCCTACTGCTCCCTGAGCTCCAAGTTCTAGCAACACAGATCGCAGGTTTTCATCCTTTGAGAATGGGTACCAAAGCAGATGCAAAGAGGATGGAGGGGAAGAGGCAACAGGATCCAGAGGCATTTCAAAGACAGACACTGGCAGGAACTGAGCCTAAGGAGAGGGAGGTGGCTCTAGTTTCATTGTTTATATGCTCCATGAGGTCATGCGCTGTGTCTGGGGCACCTGGCATAGGGCTTCGAACACAGTAAGCATTCAACAGACAGTTGTTGAACAAAGAATGAATGAACGAATGATACTATTAACAGAGATAGAAAAAGGAGCAGACACAAGTTTGGGGTTAGCAACAAGGTAGAATAATGCATTTGATTTTAGACCTGTGGTGTTTAAGGGCTAGGGAGCTCCTAAGTATCAACTGCCAAATATTTCTGCCTTTTCTCCTTCTGGGCACATGGTCGGGTTGCACTTGCCCACACTCCTTGAAGGCAGACATGGCCACATGACATGCTTTAGCCAATGAAATATTAGCAGAAATTATGTGACTTCTGAGCTGAAACTTTCAGAGTCAGTAGGACATCTGTTACTTTCCTCCCCATACATGGATGAACCCTGAATATCTATGCTGAGCCCAGATCCCAGGAGACCGACAACGGATGTGGAGTGTGAGCGAGGCAAATGAATTTCTGCTGTGTTAAGAAACTGAGATGTTGAGGTTCGTTGTCACTGCAGGATGATCTCTCTATATTAATGGAGCCAAGGAACCTACAAGTCATACCCATAAAGATGCCCAACTGGATGTACGACTGAAGGTCAGTCAGGAGAGGGGCTTTCTGGAGAGACTGTCACAGACTACCAAGGCCCAACAGCTACTCTGCCCATAGCGGCAGCACTAAGAAAGAACTAGAAGATCGACCGCCTCCGTACAGCCCATTGTGGAATTCAGGCAACCAGGCGGCCTTCCCCTGTGCTTCAGCCTGCCTCCTTTCCCTGAGGAGGGAGCACTGAGTCCTCACATCACCCTTTGTAACCCCCGCACCTCCCCGCTCATGATTTACCTGTGTTGTAGCCCCTTCCAAGGGCAGGCCAAGGGCGGTGATTTTTCCACAGGTTCCCAAGGTACCAGTCACTCTGGTTCTCTACCAAGCCCAGGACCTGCTGACCTGTGAAGTACAGAGAATACAAAGGTCTCAAAAGAAGCCAAGTGGATTGGTGAGTACCGAACAGGAGATATAATAACGGAAAATCATCCTAACCATAGCTTCCACTATTGGGAGTTTTTATTAAGTGCCAGGCCCTGATCTAAGTGCTTCACTTGTATTAACATATTTAATTCTCACACTTAGGTAGCCCAGCCATTTTTATTATCCCCATTTTATAGAGAAGAAATGGAGGCTGCCCAGAGAAGTTAATTAACTTGCCCAAGGTCATCCAGTTAATCTGTGATAAAGCCAGAATCCAAAACCATTTGTCTATCTATCCATCCATCCATCCACCCATCCATCCATCCATCCATCCATTTATCCATCTGTATATCCATCCATCTGTCCATCCATTTATCCATCCATCCATCTGTCCGTCTGTCCATCCGTCCGTCCGTCCATCCATCCATCCATCCATCCATCCATCCATCCATTTCTTAACTCACTCAATGTGTATTTATTTCCTGACATACTATTCTTCAAGTGTTCCAGTTCTAATATTTCCCATTGTATATTAATTTATCAGCTTTCTGGGCATGAGATGAAATAGTTTTCTCACATCAGAGAGGAAGAAATGACCCTTGGTTAATGAGATGGGAGCCTATAGAGAAGAATCACCTGTTGGCCACCTTCTCACGGTGTTATTACCCTCACATTCACTTTATCTTGTGTCAACAAGCATCACGTCAATGCAGGAGTGTTTTCTAGAGGAACAATGGTTTCTCTGTCCCCAGAGCTCGGCTTTGATGTTGGCCTCTGTTTCTAGTGCACTGAGGCCAACACCTAAGGTGAGTCAGGTCTCTTAGTCAATTTCTTAGCATCTTAGGTGAGTCAGTCACTCACTTCAATTTCATAGAGCGTTATGTTCCTGGGACTCAGGCAGGAATAAGTCTCCAGGCCTTCTAAGTAGGACAAGTTGGGCATCAGAATCAACTACCTTCCACTAGAAAACACTATGATGCCACTTGCAGAAGGCATTCCCGTGAAATTATTATCTCAACACCATTTTACAGACTAGGAAACTGTGGTTCACATAGGACCACGGTTTGTACAACTAGTGATGGAACCAGGATATGAATCTATACTTGTCTGACATCCAGATTCTTTCCACTGTCTCAATGCATTATTGCCTACCTTTATAACAAATGTTTGAGGTAGGAATTACAAACCCATAGTTTATAGAAAGACAAACTGAGGCTTGGAAAGTTTAAATAACTCACTAAAGGTCACACGACTAATAATGACTGCCTTCCCCAGCTAACCAATGCCTTTGGAGCTACAATTCTTATATTGTGGCCAATCTGAGAAATAAAGACATTTCTGACCCAATGAAAGCCCCGCAGCATGTTAAGAAAACACAGCGGTTCTCCTGGAACACCACGCTGGGTGATATAGCATCTCCTTGGTGTGATGACAGCTCCCTGAAATGATGGCATGTGGGTTTGGTGTAATTTATTTGATCAATTTATCGAGCTCCTATCTAAATCATCACCCCAGTACAAATACATAAATTAGAGGCACGAGAAAGATACTACCTCCCACTTTGTCATTGTATATGATCCCATGCAAAACTTGTAGAATCCCTTAGAAAAATGTATCACCAGCTCAAGAAGTGCAAGAGCCAACCCATTCTACATGCAACAAGCTTGCGAGGCTCATGCAAAACAATGAGATCTGAAAGGCAGGGTGCCCTTGGCTGAGAAAGCTGTGAGCTGAGTCCCGGTGCTGTGACCTCATTAGAGAGCTCATTTAATAATCTCGCCCCAAGGTTGGCATGCAAAGGGGATGTGGGGTCCTTGGGGGAGCTGACCAATAATTGGTCATTATTACCAATGACCCCAGGTTGGTGCCACAATGTTTCTTTGGTATGATGAAGGGTGCCATGTGCTCAGAAATGACAAAAGGGGAATAATCTTTCATTAAGTTTAGGGTGGCCATCTGAATTTCAGGTAGGGTAGTCTTTAGCTATCTGAAAAGTCCAAATTCTGTATTCTGGCATTCCATGCATTGTATTCTGCCTCAGTCTGCTTCTTCAGACGAAGTCTCTAGTAGCCACACTTCATTCCTGCCACACGAAAAGATGTCCTCACCTCTGTGTCTTACTCATATAGCTCTTGCTTAGCAAGGCTTGCCTCTGTCCCCTGCCAACCTCCGTCTTTAGGGCCCATCTCGAAGCTGCCTATGAACACCCTCAAGTCTGAATGATTACTTTACCTTCACTCCCGCATGAGAGGGGAGACATCTCTATTTAGCAGTTGCTCCTGGTATTTGTGCCATCGGCCGACTTACACCCTGTAAAGGACAGCGTGGGTGATGTTCAGGCACACCCACACCTCATCTGTAAATATCCATCTCTGTATCCGTCCAAGGGCGAGGACTGTGTAGTATCTGGAACACTAATAGGAGCTAATAAATATCTGCTAAAGAAGTGATGGCTGGTGGGTAAATCTCTCCTGACTGGGAGACAACTAATGTTAGTGTATTAAGGTCCCACACATTTCTGAGGCTGCAAAGCATTTTACCTGCTCCCCATTCGCCAACATCAACACATTTGCCCACTCAGCTCTGGGGACTCTGGCATCTTCCTCACCTGCATGGAAAACTGCAATGATGCAGCGGCAGCACCTAAAAGCATCTTGATATCGGTTGCTCTACTGAAGGCCTGAACTCAAGGGCTTAATCTCCAGAGAAGGAGTAATCTGCGTGGTTAAACGTAAGTCATGTTTTCCCAAAGAATAAGATCCAAATTCTCCTCTCACTTTGCACCTGGGGTGCATTTCTTATGATGGTGGCACACAGCCCATTCACCTACGCCAGTCCTCTACAAGGTTAAGAAAATAAAATCCTTAATTAGCAACATGATAGCCGTAATTTTAATATCCACTGGTTGAGAAAGCAAAATAATAAACAACTACTAAGACTTTGTTTTGTGTTTTTAGATGGATTCATTAGCTGCTCTGTTGATTAAAACGGTAGCTGGGTTTCATAAGTGGTCTTGTGAATACCCTAAGCTAACTCGGTGTGTCCACCTCTGCAGAGGTCTGTGTCATGGACGGGGAGCCGTGTGCAGTGGTGTAGCCAGAGGTGAAGAGTGTAGACTGAAGCCAGACTGCCTGGTTCCAATTCCTAGCCCTGCCACTTTCTAGCTGTGTAGCCTTGAGAAAATTACTTAACGTCTCTCTGCCTCAGTATCTAACTCTTATGGCTGTTGTGACTTCACGTGTTAAGTGCTCAGCATAGGGGCTGGGACATATTAAGCGCTATATAAGTGATAGCTCCTTTTAAATATCATCATCCAAGATCACCTGGAAGCTTCTGAAGGAGAGTGAGCCCATTGTGTGGTTTTCTTTGAAGGCCATCTAGCATCACAATTACGTCTTTCTAGAACTTTGTTTCTCTAAATGTGGTCCGAGGACTGTCTGCTTTAGAAAAACCTGGTCTTGTTAAAAGTACACGTTTCCGGGCCTCCACCTAGCAGTTAACTGTGACCTGGAGGCTGGTTCCCTGCTACCTCTCTGGTTTCTACAAGGAGGGATTCCCCGGCTCATTGCCCCAGCCTGTTCTCTCTCCCATGGGCCTGGAAGGAGCTCCCTGACTGGTGAGTTTCAGAGAGAACTGAGTTTACGAGTTTACGGAGCTCAGCCCTTTCTCCGGCCCTTCCAGGGGCCAGCAGAGGGCCCACAATGAATCTTCCTTCCCTGCTGTCAGTTTTCCAGGGCAGGCCACCGCCCACCCCCCCACCCCCGACAAGGCTGCAGGTACCCAACACCTCCTACGACAGGCTGGGCAGCTCCAACTCCAGGTTTTGGTATTATGAATACTCATTGTAGATGCACATCTAAATCATGTCCTCCAATTTAACTTTTATTCGTAAAATAAGGTGACATTTGCTTTCATTCCTCCATCTTATCTCTGAATTGATTCAGTATCTGGAAGTGTGGAGGGAATGTCACATATTAATTCCCTCATAACCTAGCACTTCTAAGTAAGAATTCTGGCCATTGGGTCTAGTAATCTGCACTTAAAAAAATTCCCCAGGTAATTCAGATGCACATTAGAGTCTGAGAATTATCGATCAGGGTCTGGAAGCTCTGTCCCTGCTTCAGTCAGGGGCGAGGTTCACTTGCACGGCCACTAGCACACAATAAACTCATGTGGTGTCTAAATCCAGCTCACAAACCAGCAGAATTCAGTGGCAGCCTCCAGTGCTACACTTCTTGAGTACAGGCAAGCAGTGAAGAAAACGAATGCCAGAGCCAGACTGCTTGGGTTCAAACCCTGGCTCCTCACACAGCTAGTAGCTGTGTGACCTTGGACAAGTTACTTAACCTCTCTGTGCTTGTTTCTTCATTCATTTATAAAGTGGAGTTAATAAACAGTACATGCCGCAGAACTAATTTGTTTTTCTCTAGGTACAAGTTAATTCGTGACAATGCAGCTGTGTTCTTTGCTTATTCAAACAGCATCACCAAGAGTGCCTAGAAAATAGTAAAATGTTCAGCAAGCGTCGGCTCTTATCACTACAACCAGAATTCCCTGGCCCTATATTCTGCCCCATCTGTCCAGATTCAGGCATCTGCATCTGCAGTCTCAGCGTCTCCTCTCTTCCTTAGCTGACACGATCCTTACTCTCTCTCGACTTTGGTTCAGTTTAATATCGATTGAGAGTTTGCTGTCAGCTACCACACAAAATACTGAGGAATCAAAGACAAATAAAACAGAGTCCTGGCCCTGGAGGCAGCTAGAAGAGGAGACAGATAAACAATTATGAAGCAGTGCGGTCCTTGCAGTGACAGAAACACTGATAAGGCAGAGGAATGGAAGGCAGGGAGGAAGAATTGATTCTGTGGGGGAAAGTGGGTGACGTCTCCCCAGAGGCATCTACCACATCCCCTCCCGCATCGCAGGCCATGCCTGCCCCTTCCACACACACCTCCAAACTCCCAAATTCCCCCAAATCT